GACTTAGCACATCTAAGACTAAGCACCCAGTAGTGACCTCTGTTTACCCCTCCTCCACACACACCTTGACCTGCCTCTCTGGCAAACACTCCCATCTAAGTAATAGCAACTCACCCTTCCATCTGCTCAGGCAAAACCTCGATGCGATCATTGCTCTTTTTTGTCTTTTTTTATACCAGACGTCTGATTAATCGGCAGTTCTTGTTCGCTCTACTTTCCAAATATACGTAGAATTCAGTCTACCAAATCCAAACACTTCTCCCCACCTCCATCGTCATCAGTCGGGTCCAAGCCATCTTCATCTCTCACCAGGATTACTGCACTAGCCTTCTACCTGCCACCACCCTTGGCAATGAAAATGCTGCTGAATTTATTAAGATTTCTGCACTTATGTTTGCACTAGTAAAACCGGTCAATACTTTTTCTATTTTGTATAATGCTCTAATTTTTGTTTTAGGAATAAAATTCTGTCTTGAGTGAGATAAGTTATTTTCTTAGCTTTGGAAACACATACTTTATATTATGTAGGAATTTTCTCCTTTTTTATGTTTGGTGGAATTATCCAGTAAACGCTTTTGGGTATCATGCCATTTTAGGGGGTCTTTTAATAACTTTTCAGTTTTTTTTCGTTGGTTAACAATATATTTAGGTTTCTTAACTCTTTTTCAATCAATTTTAATAATTTATAATTTCCTTAAAATTTCCCATTACATCTAATTTTTCAAATGCATTAGTATCTACTATTCCTTATTAAATTAGTAATAATCGCCCTGTTGCCTGTACTATAGTTACCTTTCCTTTCGCATTCCTTAATATTTGTTATTTTCTTATTTCTTGAATAGATTGCCAAACACAGCCTATTTTATTGATCTATTTAAGAAAATATCTTTTTCATTATTAATCAAGCCTGTGTTTTAAATTGTGGGCCATTAATTTCTTTTCATTAATTCCCTCTGCTTTTAAAAAGTTTATTTTTGGTGTTCTAGAAATGAATATAAGAATATAAATTTTCATCCTATTGCATACCTTAGGTTTGGTAGATTTTGTCCCCATTTTACATTTGAGCCTTTTAAAAGTTATATTTTTAAAAGGTCACCCAGATGAAGAGTGGCAAAGTAGAAATTCAAATCTAAGTGTGATTTACACTATACCAGAGAAGTTCTTTTGAACGTATCACACGCAAAAGACATAGAGATGCAATTCACACAAAAAGAAACATAGTTAACATATGGCAATATGTTTATTTGCTTTAAAAAAAATATTAAAATAATGGCATGTCATTTACACAAGAAGACATATAATTGCCAATCAAACTGGGTTAAAATGAAACCTTAAATTGGAACAATAATTTGATAAAACAACTTAACAATGTATATTAATTGTCATAAAATATTTGTGTCCTTTGACCAAGTAGCCTCGAATTAGTGTTTTTCCTCAGGACATATTTCATAAGACTAAAACTGCTATATAAAAATTAGAATATAATGAAACATATCTACAGCATTTTGAGCGACAAAGACAGTACCCACGAATTCTAGACCTGGCTAAATTTGTCATATTCTAGCACTCAGGACCCAAATACTCTTCTTATCTTGTTTTCTCTCTCTTTTCCTGTCAGAAGCTGGAACCACTTAACAACAACAACAACAATAGTAAAATAAAAGATTAACTTTGCTGACTAGATGAAAACAAATGACACAGATATGACAGCTACCACATCCCTCTAGATCCCCTCCTGCCTCAACCTCTCTGACCAGGGCTCTTTCCTGCACTCATTCAGTTCTGGCCCAGATGACTTCCTTCTGTAACGTGAACCTTCCTGCCTCTGGGCCCTTGCACTTGCTGTGCCATCTGCCTGGAGTGCTCTTCCCGCAGTTCTCAGCATGGTTCCCTCCTTCATCTCCCATAATATTTCCTCAATTACCCTGGTAAGCCATCCCTGGCTGCACACTCACACCCCTAGCACCACATCCTCTGTCCTGGCTTTGTCTCTACAGTTAAGACCACTCCTAATCCACCATCACTCTCTATCAGCTCATTCTGCTTTATTCTTCTATGTACTTATCATAATATTTATCACTGCCTGATATATAAAAATTAAAAAAAAAACTTGCAACTGTCTCCACCACCTTCCATACTATGATAACTGGAATACTGTTTTGCACTGTATCCCTAAAACCTAGAACAGTGCCTGGCATATAAATGCCCAAGAAATATTTGTCTATGGAATGGCAGGTAAGGAGGAAGACACGGAGAGAGGGAGGGATGGAAGGAGAAAGAAAGGAAGAAAGAGGGGACGGAGAAAGGGCTTCAGACTTATAGATCTGACTTGACTTCATGGAAAAAACATCTTCCATTTCTGGATCAATAACCAGAAATGTCCTATAGTTTCTTGGAAAAGCTAATTCTCCCTAAACCCTATTACAGATACATAGTGTCTGAGGGCTACCTGGCCTACCTCGTCTTATCAGGGTCAAGCCACAGTTGGTCTATAATGTCATGGCACTGCCTCCACCTTCTAAAAAATATATTAATAATGCATACTTTGTCCAGAGAATGTCAACCCAGACCCTAAGGAGGCCAACGGGAAAAAAAGTTATTTTAAGTGAGTGTGTCTCACCGGGAAAGACAGAACACAATCCCTCTAATTAAAGAGCTCTCGTATGGAGTAGGGGGTATAGCCTTTTTTGAGCTGCTACAGAAGTCAAAACAATACTAGTAGATGGCAATTAAAGAGAGATTGTTTGGCGCTAAGTGAGAAAGTATGTCACAATAACCGGAACTGCCTGGAGGGGTAAGAACCTGCAGTCACTCAAGAGCATGCTTTTGACAATGGATGTGCCCTGTGGCCAGTCACCATTTACCAAAAGTTTGCACTAGGATTTCTAAAGCTTAATTTTAACTTAAAACATTGGTATACTATTTTATAATGCAAATTCTATGTATCAGAACTGACCAAGATCTGGGGTATATTCAGAAAAAAAAAAACAAAAAACAACTTTTAAAGATCCTAGCAACTGATACTATTCTAGGTTATCAGTTCATAGAATTACCATTTCTCACCTGGAATTGCATTTTCTCCAAATTTGGTATAAAGTAAAAGAATTTTATAAAATAATAGCAAAGAAAAAATGACTATGTATAGTTTATCATCATTTCTAATGGGCTTAAAGATAGTGTGTGGTATTGTCTGCATCTCTTCTCTCTTCACCCAGAGGAAGGCACTGGCATAGTAAGAAGTAGGTGGCAATCTGAATCCAAGATGTCTTGTGGCGATATTTTGCATAACTAAAATATATAGAAATGCATTCAATTAAAAAGTCTACTCCTTGTCTATATAGCTGTTCTCCCCAAAGAGAACCTGGCTTATAATTGAAAGAGTGAGCTGCAGTAACAAAATCAGTTATGACAGACAGTATGGCACAAAATCTTTAAACTGGGGGACCCTGGAGGCGAAGGGCGAGTTCCACCAAACAGGTGGATAGAGTTAATATATTGAAATAAGCAAGGTATCAGAAGGGCAGCTCTGGTCTTTGCTGTGAGCAGAACAGGGTGTAAGGAAAACACGGGGTGGGTTGAAACCACCTTTTTGGGCATCTCTTTTCCCACTTCTCTCAAAAACAACAACAATGTCTAAAATCTTCTGAAGGCTATAAAGGTTAAATTGAGGTCAGGGGTTCCCTATAAACTAAAGTTATTCTAAAACAAGAATATTGATGAGTAAGTTGTAGTTTTTTTTCCTACTGTCCTGGTTTTACAGACACCTGGTACTATCTCAGAGATCTGAGATAGTAGCTTTGCCAATATCGACACCCCAGTATCTTATGACGGCCCAGGTCCACTTGTGAGAATCTTCTTTTATCCTCAAACATGGCTTTTCAGCCATTTCTGCTGCTCTCAGTAGCTGTAAAATTCCAGGCTGATCCCTCTGTCCCCTGATATACCTCGAAGCACTCAGTCTTGGGAACTTTCCAGGTGTGAACCCTGTAAATGTGAAGTTAATAGTGCATGTACCCAGGAAAACCCTGAGACTTACAGAACCCTTAAGAGTCTGTTAGGTTGCTAGGGACAGAAGGAATTCTGCCCAGTCTCCAACAATGGTCCTTGTCATTTTAAAGATTCCTTTCTACAGATAATTAAAAATAAAGGAACAGATCTATATATGTGATCCTGATAACAGTACTTCAGTTTATATCTTATGATAAAGAGTGATCTCTTATCACTCTTATCACAAGGTTGCATCAGATACAATTCTGGTTATTTTCAACATTGAATCCACATTTTAAGATCTTTATCTGTAAACAGGATATATAGTTAAGATTCTTTTTCATATGTAATTACAGAAGTATAATTTTGTAGCATTAAACATGGCATGCTAAAATGCTCTCGATACTCATTTCCCATAAGCTTTTAAATTTAAGTCTCATAACTTCAACACTAAGTACTTCTCCTGAACGTGAGACGGTGCATTTAGTATTTCTAAAAGTACTGAAGAATATCACGTCTTCAGCTCACGAGTAGTCACCTTTTGTTCTCCCAGAAAGAAGGTGCATGAACTTAAAGGCAGGGTTAGCCCGGTAGCACACGTGCAAAGCCACTGAGCAGGGGACGGTGAGGAAGCGGCCTGAGCAGACCGTCGCCACATGGGAACTCGGCGTCAGTGCTGCCTTATCTTATGGGTTTTCAAGAGAAGCCAGAAATCCAATCTTAATATGCACTCTCTCAATATCTAAATGTTGGCAACAAATTCAGAAAACTCCATAAGCCTGTGCAGGCCAAATGGAACGCATCTGTTAGCTGTATTCAGTTTGAGGCCTCCAATTTCACACCTCTCTCCTCACTGGCTTTACTCCATACTGATGAGTGATACGCTGCAGAGGGCACTCGCTTTTTGTAATTATTCTTCTAACACTTAAAACACGTTAGAGCACTGAAAATATACAAAAGAATTTATTTCCTATATTGTGGTACCAAAAATGATATTCACGTTACTTACTTACCCTGCTGACTTCCTTAGGAGATGATTCATCTGGGGGATGGAGAAGGAAGGGAGAAAAAATACAGTTAGAAAGTCTGAGTAGTTTCTGAAATACAGAACATGTCATTCACGCTCAATAAACTAGAAGGCTATTTGCAATGCCTCCGCTTGTGAAATCTAGGAATTTGGTTTTAAAACTCTATAAAAGTTAAACAGTAAGTGTAGAACTAGATGTATGTATTAATTTTGGAGGGAAATGAAATAACACAACAGTTTGCCAGTCATTTTCAAGATTACCTTCTTAGAGATTCTAAAATGGTAGTACCTACAAATATGGCTACACTGTGGTTTATCAAATACACGTACTTAGAAAGGGTTTGTAATATTTGCAATATTCTAAATGACACAACCCACATGAATATCTCAAATGGTCATTGACACTTGTGCTGTGAGGGTTATTTCCAGCATTTCTAACTTGCTGAAATAAGACATGTGCCTGCATGGCATCCTGGTTAAGGCATGAAGCACACCTATTAATAGTGCTGCTTTGTACCATGGATCCCAGGAGTTGGCGGGGGCGGGGGGGTTGTACCAGCATGTCAGCATTCTTTACTAGTAAAATCAGACTCATGGACTGACCTGGTCTAGTTGAGGCCCTCTGAAGGGCTCTCCCCACGAATCTGGCTACAGGGCAAGAATATGCCTGTGTCCACCAGCAGGGTACAAGAAACAAACTGTCCAAGACTCCACTTTAGGTCCACTGGTTAAGAGTATCCCGTGCCCAGAAACTGGCTCTGACCCAGAGAAAAGGTGTTGATATGGCCCTTCCAGGGGAAGGGTGACTGGAGCTGGGCCTCTCCAGACCACTCACAGGGAGGCAGCCTTTAATTTCATGCTGTTGCTATCTTGTGTCTTGTTTAGCAACCAAACCCTCTCTACCTGCCACCACCAGCACACACTTAACACAGCAGATTTCTAATGTATTCTACATCACCAAAAAGCACAGCCTAACCTATCTCAACACTGACAAAGTTCACAAGCCCGGACAGGGCTGTGATTCTTCTTTCTCTTTCAATATTCTTATTAACTAAACCACTGAGTCCTTTTGTTTTCTCTTTTTTCTTATCTTTCTCAGATTTACTGCTTACCATCCATTTCCACAAATAACATTAAGTCTAGTTCCAAATCACCTATCAACCAGTAACCTTTAAGCTGATCCCTGAATCCAATATCTGCCCTGGCAATCACGCCTACACACGCACACACACACACACACACACACACACTCACCCACCCAGTTTATCTTTCAAAAATATCCCATCTATCATGCCCCTTGGATGCTTCATAATTTAAAGTAAATTAGACTTCAAAACTTGCTGCATGTTGCCTTTACCTGGGAACCTTTTCAAAATTAGCAAGCTTGGGACTAACAGATAGTAAGCGTGCAATAAGCAGTTCCTATTTTTTTGTATTACTGTATTAATACATACTTGCTTATATATTTTTCTTATAATTGTTCCATAACGGTTTGAGCATTGCATCTGATTCCCCTAAGAATGTAACCATGTTATAGGAAAAACATTTATTTTACCTTATACACTGAAGTCACATCATAGAAACATTTTCATTTATTCTTTAACTCCTAACCTCTTATTCTTTTCTAAACCTCTCTGAAGATGGGACTCTTCGATTTAATCATCACAACAAATTTATTAACAGATTATAAAGTTGTAGAGGCATATATGTTTTAAATTTTTTTAATTTTTATCTAAGAAATTCAATGAACAGGGTTGAAAATTCAAGGTTGATTAAAACATGCAAAGGAAAGCAGCAACTGTGTGAACAAGTTTACTGTGGGACTGAATGGAGTTTTCAAGCTGTGACCCTTTGGCACCTTCTACTCTCCAGTCATCAGTACGATCTGAAAGTTAGTTCAAAGGAAGAAGAGCTCGAATGTCCAGACATCTGTACATAAATGTCCCCTTTGCTTTGTCCTTTAGTTTTGCTTAGTGCTTCTCAAACTTGAGTGTGCATAAGAAACTCTACTGATAAGTATTTGTAAAAACCAATTTTTTTCTTGCTTTATGGACAAAGTATTTGAAAGAAAAATGCTACCTATAACTTATTTCTGGATTTTTCACCTTATGTACAGATTTAGAAATAAATCATCTATCTCTTCCTCCAACTTAGAAGCCAAACAATTTTTGTTAAATGAATGTCAAGTCCATTACATTTAGGGAACATGGTCTTTTAGCTGAGGAAATTAATGGGTCCAGTGAATTTGTTAGGATAAGGGAAGCTTCCTTCCTATTTCCTATACTTGGAATTTTCATTTTGTTGAACTCTCTTGCCCAAGGCAAGTTTCAGCATGTTGCAGACAATCCATTCACTTTCTCGTCCACAATGGAGAGGACAGGATGACCGAATAGCTGAGGTGGCACAGCTAGTGGCTCAGAGCGTGCACTGTGGTCAGAAGCCCACATGGCCAGTCACTTGCTGTCTTACTTTTTGGCAAGGTGTCTGACTTCTTTTGCCACCTTATAAGCCTGAAGTGAGACATCTTATCAGTATAATTTGATACTGAAAAATAATTTTTTCCACAAAAACATTTTCAATGTAAGGTTAAGAGACCACAACTTAGAATGATTCCTAAGAACCCACAACTCTGGAACGTCTCTGTACACTTCCAACACGTACTCCCAGCTAAACTGTCTGAGTGGCATTTCACATGGTTCAGGAGTGAAGCTCACTTAAAAGTGAAGGGACAGGCAATCATGGAAAAGAAGGAAATTGCCACGGATGGGAGATTTTGAGTCCTTCATGAGCATCAGATTAGCAACAAAAATGTTAACAACAGCAGACACTAATTTTTATGTGGCATTAGGGTTCTGTAAACATTTGTTTATTCAAGAAATGTGTACTATGGATCCATTATGTGCCAGGCATTTATCCCTGTTCTCAAGAAGCTTAAATTCTAGTGGGAAGAATAAACAAGAAAAAATTTTAAATAATTTCAGAAAGGGAATATTGATGCTTGTTAAAGAGAAATTTATTTTTTTTTAAAAAAGAAACCGTCTTCAATGTAAGCATCGTTTTAATAATTTTTTAAAGCCTTAGGAAGAATAGCTCATGCAACAAAAAATCCCCTGGAGGATTTCTTAGTAAGTACGTCTTTCAGCAAGTACTTAATTTGGAATATTTTATAAATCCTTATAACTGTGCACATATCTGTACGTTGTTTTTTGTGATCAATTTTGATATTTCTTATATGAAATGGGATTTCAGGAATGAATCCAAATTTATAAGCAGAACTTAAAGGAATTTACATTATGATGACTGATTTAAAGTTCTGTGTCTGCTTCTAATATTCGTCTTTACTCTGGTGTTTAGCCTTGAAGTAAGAGCTCCAGAAATACAGAGTAGACAAAAATTCGACTAAAACTCATATTCTTTAGAATCAATAAGAAATTATTAAATTTTCTTACTATTTGAGCCATAAAAACTATAGACAAAAGTGAATACCATTAAAGAAAAACAAAATGTGATAAAGAAAAATAACAAATAGAATAACAGAATAAGTTTAATAAATTATTATAGATCTAAAAAAGATCCATTTAAAACCAAGCATTAAAGAGTTTTGATTGATTCTTATGATCCTTAAGTAATTTTATTCTTTGTTGATCTTTTAAAATCTTCCCACTGAAAAAGAATATATTTTTTTTACAATAAAGAAAACAGATTCAACATAATCCAAGACTGCAGCTGCTAAAAATGTTGATGAATGTTTATGTTTATTGACATGAAAAATTGTCCATGATTTGGTTAAAATATATGTATATGTATTTAATCTGTAAGTGTATGTAAACACATACACATTTTATAAATTATATACATAGACACACAAATTGGTTTCAATTACAAATTATTTTTTCTTCAGTATATCATGTTACAAGTCTGAAATGAAAACAATTATGGCCGTGTATAATTTATACATGTATAAATGTGTTTTAATATCATTAAAAAGAAAACTTTTTAGATCGATTATCATTTCCTTGAAGTACAATATACAGTTATTTTGACTAAATCTTCCACGGTTAAGTTCTCGGCTTTCAGTGCTCATCCTGTAGTATAAGGAAAGAAGCCTAAGAAGTCACTCATTGATACTATGCATCCAGAGAGGAGAAACAGTGACCACAAGATAGAGAACTTGGGGATCATTGCAAAGATGTCACTGCACTTCAGTCCTTCAAGATTATCCATCTCACTTTGCCTTGCAGTCTCTGCAGATAATGTAAATGGAGCATACTTGTCTTCTCCTTGTGGGAAATACATATTTCCCATGAAAATCAATAAACCAGCCATCTTTTATACAAACTTCCATCTCTTAGGAGCTGGTGTGGCTCCATTCAGCCTCCTCCAGCCATTTCTGGCACAGCTATGGAGCTTGTCTAAAGACAGCTATGTGTCTTCTAACAATGCAATCTTAACGACTCAATCCACAAATATCTATCAGATGTCTAATACGTGCCAGATACTGAATAAATGTCTCAGTTGGCTCAATCATACCAAAGGGGAGGACTTAAATCCCATGGCTTTGAGAGAAAACAAAAAGGCAGCCTTTGGCCCTAGTTGGCGGCAGGAGCCACCTTGTAGTCATGAGAGGAGTCAACCCCAAACAATAACCCAGCAAGGGCAACAGAGGAGAAGGGGAGGCGGGCACAGAGCATTGGACAGAAGGAGAGGGCAGCTGGGGGAGAGGAAAGAGAGAAAAGCTGGATCTCTGGAGACATTTCTAACCAATTTAATCAGCCAACCTTGAAGACTGCCTTACCTAAAGGCTTCTTCATATGTGAGACAGTTTATTTCCCTATTGATTAAGCCAATTTTACCAGGTGAAACAGAAAGCCCTCAAAAGGAAATGAGGAAAGGAAATGAAGGAAATGTAATAAAATGTTAATAGGATATTACTTTTATATCATTAAATCAATACATCATTATTTAAATTAAAATCTTCAGAAAGCTCTCCGATTCCTACCAAAAATAAACTAACC